GATGATGTTACAAATGCTCTTACTCCAATAAATAAGGATTTTTTGATTTGGGATCTTGTAACAGGCTTACTCTCAGAATGTTCTATAGAAAATTTCATCCTTTGTAACGTCCAATCTATAGATGGGTTATGCATTTCTAACCAAGAAAGACCAAGAATAACAGAGTTTGATGGAATTTTAATAATATTGAAAATAATATAACTATTATGGTCTTTAAACGTCACCTCTATAGATTCTGATTCATGGATGATACTACCAAACAATAAAGGTCGTCCATCTATTACTTCTACGTGAATGGGGTTAGATTTTTGTATTAGAAGAATCTTGTGATGCTTAGTAAATTCTTCATCTAAAAAGCAAGCAGATGCTCTTAAATCTAATAACGCTAAGGTTTTTAGTTTTTGACGGCCAAAAAATAGAAGAATAGTAAAACAATGGACAGGTTGAGCGAAAAGAGAGGAACTTGATTGTTGTTGTCGTATTGAATTATCTTGCCGCACAGTCCTTATTATGGCTGGGCATCTTTTTTTTCCTAAATAAATGTGTCTCTCATCTTGACAATGCGTTGATTTTGCTTCTTGGGATAGTTTCCAGCTTTGTGGCATTTTTCACCACAATACAAGCATAATCCTTCTTCCGTATGTCGTTTTTTTTTTTTTTTTTTTTTTAGAGTTAGAGATTTGACACATATGGCGTCAATTTGCATGTCTTCCACCTTTGAATGTGAATTTAGGCTACTTGTTGACATAATTGGAGCATGGTGAGCCGTATGTTGTCTTGAGCATTGGTCTTGGTGACATTCTAACAAACTATTATCGTACTTCATAGCTTGGCTAATGGCTTTGTTGAGCGTTTACAGATCGGGAAGAGATAATAACAAATCCTTCACGTCGTCCCTGAAGCCCCAATAAAATTGACTCATCAATGCTTCCTCGTCTCAGTTGATGTTACACGCTAATTGTCTAAAATCTGATGCATAGATTGACACGAAGCATGCCCCTTCTCGTAGTGACTGGATCTTTGTTGTAGTCCATCGTGCCTTATCATGTTCGCCAAATGCTTCCGCAAACGCCTCCAAATTTTTTTTGAAGTTATTCAAAATTGACAATCTTTTCTCAAAGAAAGGAGTAAACTATGATAGAGCTTGCCTCGTAAGCAAAGTTCCAACTAGTCCAACACGTGACTCCTCCATCGAATAGCGTTCGGGCTGTAAAGCTATTATCAATTTAATTTGATTGACAAAACCTCAAAACTTAGAATGCGTACTATTGAACTTGTATGAAAGGCTAATTTGGAGCTCCTTTCATTGTAAGACCAATAGTCCTTGAGTCCATCATTATGAAATCTTGCAATGATTCCTTCAATCTCTACAGTTCTTTGTGATAACGTAGCAAGAGCATTCATAATGGTGTCCATCTTAGACTCCGAAATTTTAATCATATTAATATCTTGACCTCCGACCATTCTAAGAGAAGGAAAGAAATGACTCTACAAGAAGGCAGTATTGGTTTACAGGAGGGTACTCCGCAACCTCTAAAATACCTTAAAACCTTCAAAAAGAGGAGTAATCCATTGTCTCCAAAAAAGATAAGATTCCAATATTATAATAGAAGAAATATCAGTTTAGAAGAGGATAATCCGCAACCTCTAAAATGCCAACACCTTCAAGCAGAGGGATAATCTACACTCTAACAAGAAAGAACTAGCTCTGATATGAAAGATGAGTGTATTCTCCACAAACTATCATGAATTTAGAATACTGACTGTAAATCTAAAGAAGAAGCTCAAGAAGAATGGGCAAGAATTAGATTAATCAGATGAGTACAAAAACAACCTTAGAGAGGTGAGTTAGAGCTCCAAGAGGTGTGTTGTCAAGATTGAGGATCCCCTCAGTCTCAGTTCTTATATATACTACAAGCTAAGAAGCTTCTCAAGTAGCTTCTATAAACTAGGAAGCTTCTCGAGTAGCTTCTATGAATTAGGAAGCTTTTCAAGCAGCTTCCACGAGCTTGAAAACTTCTCAGGTAGCTTTTACAAACTACAAAGCTTCTTTAGAACCTTCTAAAATCTTCTACAACTTCCTAGTGTATGTCCTTGACAAATAATCGAGAGTTCAAGGTGGAAGAAGTTTTAGATTCTAGATGGCTTCAAAATAGGTTGAAATATCTTATTCATTAGTATGGATATGATATTAATAAATGCATATGGGAGCCAACAAAAAATCTTATAAATATAGCAAAGAAAGTTGAGGCTTTTCATTAAAGACATTTATCAAAACAAAGATGAAGAATAACAAATCTTTGTTATAAAAGAAATAAAATCCAAAGAAGATAATATTCTACCTTCTACTCCTTTTTATAACTTCTATGTATTTGTGATGCTAAGGAGATGGAAAATCAACAACCAATAGATTCAACCCAAGAGTTTTTACTTGCTGACTTATTGGACAAGACATTAAGATTGTCGCAATCTTGAAGACGATGTAGTTGAAATGAAGATCTTCAAGAATGGCATATCTTTCTTTGAATAAATGGCGAGATACAACATGTTTGATATCATGACCTTAGAAGAGACTTTTGATGTTTGGTGATTTCATTAAAGATAGAAAAAACTCTTGACGGTGTTTTAATTATTTTTTTTAAAAAAAAGTTATGAAAGATTTAACAATAATCAAATAACAGGGTGGATTTCTTGCCCTGATATAGGACACTATTGATGGCTAAGAAGCCCTATCAACCATCTTTGAAAAGAACAAAGATTAGAATATGTGGCAAATAAAATTTGCCATATCTTAGGTTTTATCAACACATGATGATTGCTCCTTGTAAGACTCGTCCCTAGAAGGGATGTAATGTCACAAATATACATAGGTACATTAATAAATACCTATATGATTAGATAGAAGTAGATAAAAATAAATAAAATAAATTAGTTTTATAATATCTTCTAGATAAGCTTCTTAGAAGCTTCATAGATGCTCTTTTGACTTTACATGTATTTTTAGTTGATTGGTAGGTTAGAAACTTGGACAACAAGTTAACTACGTGATGGTAGCTTGCAAAACAAGCTAACTATATGGCATACATATATAAAACTTGCCTTACAAGTTAAGATATGTGTCTTATAAAGTCAATACATTTTAGAGGTCCTATAATATATTGCGACATAATTCCTAGTTAAGAGTATATATAGAGGCAAGACTGAAGCCTTCTTCACTATTGTCAATGCCTTTCTAATCTTTAGTTTTGTTTCAAGATTTTCTAGTCTTCTTATTTTTGACAATAGCCATTCTAATTCAATATTATATCATCTTTAAGTGACTTTTTAGTTCTTTTTAGTGACACGAGTATATTGAGGATTTCTTTCTTCGAGATTCATGTTTTTGATATGAAGAGCTTTTTAATCTTTCATTTTTTCAATATAGCTATCTAGAGTAGTAAATTTATTTTTACCTAAGTCTTGAAATATATGTTAAAAATTACTAAAATTTTCTAAATAAAATTTTAATTAATATTAATTTTTTAAAAATATTTTAATGATGCTAATATTAATTCATAACTACTTAATTTTATCTTATTCTTTTTATAATAAAAAATTAATTTAAATCATTTTAGAATCTTATTATTTATATAAGTTAATAAAAGTTATAATGTTCTTTCTTATGATACTTTTACCCACTAAAAAATATTAATAATTTTTAACAGATAATACATATAAATAAAAGATCATCATAGATGTTGGTCTCAACAACTAAATAAAAATTATTATAATCAAAAAAATATATTAAATCAATTAACATCATTGCCTTGAAGACTTATTAACACATTAATTTAATGACTTTTTACATAAAAAGGCTTTTTAACTTATAAAACCTTCTAAATCCTAATAAATATTTATATAATCAAATAGACTCTCTACTATTAATTTTTTTGCATCTACTCAATTTAGAAACTATGTTTCTAATATATCCACAAATAAAGATCCATTGATAGAGACTCATACATTGATAATAGCAAAAAATGTGGTAGATGACATATTATAGTGGCAATAGCAAAAGTTGTGGTGACATTAAAAATATCTATATAAATAAGAATATATATATATATATATATATATATATGTGTGTAAAGAATATAAGAAATATTATTAAAATAACTAAATAAATAAATATAAAAAGATATTTTATATAAAAAATTAGATGTATAAAATTATTAATAAAATATTGTTTAAATTTTTATAAAATAAATTCACTTATTTTTATACAATTAAAACTTTATTAAAAATTACATGATCCATAGTTAAAGCCTTAAAGATAATTAATTTTAATTTTAATTTTAATATTTTATAATCTTATTAAATTCTTATTTGATTATTTATTTCTTTATTAATTAATTTATTTTGTGTGTGTATATATATATATATATATATATATATATATAGAATAATAAAAGATCCATTTTTCTCACATTCTATAGAAAATGAAAATTTAAAAAACCTACTTTATATTTTTGTCAATAAAAAATATAAATATATTTTTTATAAAAATAATAAAGTTAAACAAAAAAATTGTCTTAGCTTTTAAATTATATTATATGTATTACATAAATATATATATATATATATATATATATATAGTTTGAATATAATCTAGTTTTTAGTACAAAAAAATCAAATTTTTATTTTATTTACCACAACTAAGAAATTTTTTTAAGTGCTCTCTTGTTTAAACAATTTGATAAATTTCTCTAATAATCAACAGGTCATCCATTAATGCAACTAGAATTATAAATTTTTGTTCTAATCACATCCTTTAGTTATAGTATTGTTGTTCTATTAAGCCGAGATTAAAAAACCCGCTGAGGTTAAATTTGGACCTATAGACCTGTAGTAAATGGGGTGGGGCTGAGTTGGCAGCGCCAAGTGGGATGAGGCAAAAAGATCTAAACCAAGGGCAAGCAAGTTGCACCCCCGCGCACTTGGGATGTCGCTCTCGGAGTTTTGCCATATTAAAAAAGGGCCGAAGCCAGTCGAAATGCTTTGGCGCTGTGCTCCTCTCTCGGGGCATTACATTTGATTTGCTACAGACAAGCCCCAGGCGATGGAGGCTCTTCGGCCTCATCAGACCTGGAGCCGCAGCAACATTGACAGCAATTGACGTAAGTGCAACTTGCTTAATGCCCGATTTTCGCATGAGGTTGAGAGACGGGCGGAATTACGTGTGAGCAGGTGAATTGGCGGGGGACGACGAAGGAGCTGCGGCTGATGATATGGTACGGTGTTTGGAGAGCTATGCGCGCCAGGAGGAATGCGTCAGCAGGTGCTGCATTTGTAGAATAGGAGGAGGAGGAGGAGGAGGAGAAGAAGAAGAAGGCGGCGGTGGTTAGGTGCGACTGGGAGCGGAGGGAGGTCAGCAACGGTAGAATTTGCTGATGCCTTCCGTCGCGAAGTCGCAGGTGCTCGCGTTTCTCAAGCAGGTTTGGGACGTTGACCTAACTGCGATTGCCAGGGATGGTTTCGGGATGCGCTGGGGTGGAAGGAGTGTTCGTTCTTTTTAAAATAGAATTAAAAAAGTATATCTATTACCTTTTTTTTTGTCCAATTAATATTATTGCCTTGGTGTTTCGAACTGGCTTTTTCGTCGGTTGTTGTTGTGGATATAATGTATGGGATTTTTTTTTTTTTTTTTTTTTTTTTTTTTTTGGTGTGTGTGTGTGTGTGTGTTGTGGTGAGACGGTTTGATGTCTGCGATCTATAGCTACTGGTGGTGTAGCATGGAGTTGATGAGGTGGTGGAGTTGTCATCATTGTTTAGCGATGGTGTGTTTGATATCTCTATTGTAGAGGATTAGAATTTGGAGAGGTTTGACGACCTGTGGAAAGGATAAACCTATTGTACTTTCTTCTGAAGAAGCTTATAATCAATGGTGTGTCGAAAGTGCTTAACTCCACATGGTATTGACTCGCTTTAGATGTTGGATATGATGCACTTTCTTCTCTGGATATGTCCAAGGCGTTCGATATTTCAGTCTAGCCTTCGACTCAGTAGTCCTTGTCACATTCACAAATTACTCGTTCATTTTCCTTTAAGAGCACAGTAAACAGTACATTGAAATGTAGTAAGATGTTCTCGGATAACTCCGTACCTGCCCCGATATTTTCAGCAAGCAGTTGGCGTATGTTATTGGTTTCTTTACAGGTGCGCAATGAAGGGGGCGTAGTGTTTGCGGGGCTTGCAGAAAAGGCCTGGTGTGAGGCTGATGAGGAAGCCGCTGATGCTGCATATGAACTAGCGTGGGAGGAGCTACACGGAGGACCTTGGAAAGACGTGTCTCTAGTATGGCGTGATGCGTTTTCTCTCTCTTGCTTGTCTTTGGCATCATGCCATCATCGTGCCAACCGGCCTGTGGAAGCTATGAAAATTTTGGATCTTGGCGTGATCATGGGAGGACCACGATTTCGTACCGAAATTGATACCTCACTTCACAGCATCAGCACAGCAATGGCCTCAACGGAGGGCACTAAGACGTCGTTTGGTTCGCACCGAGGGGGTCATTCACAAGGAGATTTTCCGAATGCGCAAGACATACATCTGAGAATGATTAAAAAGGGGAAAATGCTGCAAGAGGTAATAATATTATCTTGTTCTGATTTGATTTCTCTCTTTGTGTAGCTGAATACTCACGTACTTTTTCCTCATTATGTTGTTGCTGGCGTTTATGTTGCCAGCGATAAGACACTGTAGCTCTTTCTCGTGAAAACGTGAATCCAGGGTCGACAAGGCGAATGTATATATTGGCTTCAAATCTTACCTTAAGAATATCTACCCTACCGCAAAATATCTTTGAATGTTTTCTATCTCTTTGTCATGTGTCATTTGATAAGTGAAATTACTTGTGGTACGGGTCATGTTAATCCAGACTACAGGGATAGACATTTATGTTGGTCATTATGATTCTGTCTACGACTCAACTGGAATAGATTGACTTTTTGGGGCTATTTTGAGTCAAGAAGTGTACTACAGTACATCTTATTCTGTATTCCAGATGCTTTTTCTTGGTAAGGGACGTGTGACATTAACAAATTGTGATTTGGTTATTTCAGGATTTGAGTACTCTACCGGCGGGGTCCTTGCGGGGTGACAGGGTAAAGCAAAGAAGTTGTCCTCCTCTGGAGGATTTCCTCCGTGATTATTTTCTGCCTGGAATACCATTGGTACTCACAGATTCGATCGATCACTGGCCTGCTATGCGAAACTGGAATGACATTACATATCTGCAAAAGGTCGCTGGTCATCGCACGGTCCCCGTAGAGGCAAGTTTTTATGAGCTTCTTGTTTCGTGTAATGACTAAGCGATTGAACTGCTGGGCAGAAGTTTCTATATGGGACTTTCTTTTGGGCTTAGTAATTTGAATTTGTGACAATCAGGGCAGGTGGGGGAACATTATCTTGCTGCAGATTGGAAACAGGAGCTTATGACAATTTCCGAATTCTTAGAGAGATCTCTTACCCACTCTGCACAATCCACTAATCGTCTGTATCTTGCCCAACATCCACTTTTTGAGCAGGTGCGAAGGGCGCAGTTGATGTATCTGTGTTTCTCCTGTTTTTTGAGGCATCATTTACTAGTCTAGACTTTGACAACGGAGTCTGTAATGTTCATTTCTTGTTTTACACTATCAGGCTCTACTGCTGATTGGAGACACTTGGATCTTCCTAACTAAGAGAAAAGTTTTTGTTTGTGAATCCAGGTCCCAGAGCTGCAAGCAGACATTTCTATTCCAGATTACTGCTCCATAGGTGGGGGTGACCTCCAATCCATAAATGCCTGGTTGGGCCCTGCTGGGACGATTACTCCTTTACATCACGATCCTCATCACAACCTTTTAGCACAGGTCTCAATTGATTTGCATCTAATTTCTCTGTTCATTAATAAAGATTGTGCAAATGAAATATGTGTAAAAGCAATAGTGTGTTATTGCTGATCAATAGCTGGAGAATATGTCATTAGTAATTTGAGATCAAGTGCTATACTAGGTTTTCTTATGTTAACTCTCGCAATGAACAGTTTTCTGATTACATGATTGTGGTCTTACAGGTGGTGGGACGGAAGTATGTAAGATTATACTCTCCGGAATCCTCTCAAAATATCTATCCATACCCTGAACCGATGCTTTGCAATTCCAGTCAGGTACTCACAGTCATGCTAACATCATATCACAGTTGTCAAAGTATGCATTACTCCTACTTAATCCGTATTTGATACGTTTTCTCACCATTCAATTTGCGACACACAGGATTGAAGTGAACTAGGAAAAACACATCTAATTGGTGTGACCTGGTTGTCTGTTTCCAGGTTGACGTGACCAATGTAGACTTGGTAAAATTCCCAAACTTTGAGCACTTGAAGTTCACGGATTGCATTTTAGAGGAAGGGCAAATGCTTTACATTCCACCAAAGTGGTGGCATTATGTGGAGTCCCTTACCCCTAGTTTTTCTGTGAGTTTTTGGTGGGCTACTTAGGATGAGGACTGGTGATTATTCTCAGCATCTAGTCTGGTCTTGTATGACTAGTTGGATCACTTCAGAGTCTCTTTTGAGTGGGCGTCTTACATGCTGGTATGTCCTCCATTGTTCGGAGCATTTTGGAAAGCCTTGGATAAATCGGTTTGAAAGGTACATTACATTCTAGATTCAATCGCCTTTAATTGTGATACAAGACCTCAAATGTTGAAAATTTTAGTTAATTATAATGAGCATGGCTGTCAGGATACAAATGTATATTCTACCGCATTTGGAAAACCATCACTCGCTCAAAAGTGTCCTTTTTTTGTACAGATTCTTTTATATTTTAGTACCTTTTCCTTGAAATGGTAATTAGGTTATTGGTGTATATTTTGTTGTTTTGCATTAAAGAAGTCATTTTTTATCATATATTTATGTTTTGTTGCAATTTAAGCAATAAATTATAATTTTGATAATAGTACATGCAAGTCAATAAAATTCACTTGATTTTTAGTTTCGTAACTGTTTAGAGTCTTTTGCAAAATAAATTTCTTGTAGACTACAACAAGGCTAGGTTGATGGATTGATTTGTGACAAGTACTGGTATTAGGATTTTGGTGGTGGATAAATGTAAAATCATTTAAGATTAATTTGATTTCCTAAATCTAAAACTAAGACACACTCAGAAGAGTTTTACATTAAAAAAAAACTGTATTGTATTAAGCTCCAAACATTATTGTTTATTAAGTTCTAGTAATTGTGTTTGTTTTTTTCTGTTTTGTTTTGTTTTTTGTTTTGTTTTGTTTTGTTTTTTTTTTTTTTTTTTTGCATTGTTATATTTAGTAGGTCAAACAAATTTGTATTTGACCTGTTACATTTTGTTGAGCAATGAATTATGCATGTATAATTTAATTGGTGGATTTAAATATTAATAATAAGATGTATTTGTAAGTATGTTACATTAAAACAAATGCTGTATTTGAAAATAAAATAAAAAAATACTTCGTAGTTGAAAAGACCTTTTTAACACATGTGTAAAGAGATTAAAAGTCAAATAGGTGATTTTGAGGGTTTGAAGAATATTTAAGATAACCTTGGAAAAACAGTTTTCTTTGAGTTACAAGAAATAAAAAATTACCAATGATATAAAAAAACATATTTAGGAATTGACCTTGAAAATATTAATTTTAGGTTTTAAGACATTAAAGTAGAAGTTTAAAATATGAATTGTGTTTTTAGTGAAGAATTGCATACGTAAATCATCAAATTAATACATATAAATGATCAACTTTAATCTTGTTATAAGAATTGTGCAATAATCTTATAATTGAGTAACAATTAAAATTTGTAAAAACAATTGCTTCCAATGAATAGAATAAGTGCCATTAATAAGTTTGATTTAAAAAAAAAATAACTTTAAAAATAAAAAAATAAAAACTAATTGATATTAAAATATTTAAAGGATATTTAAAAATATATATAAATTTAAAATTGTCACATAAATGATAAGTAGAAGAAATAAAAAAAAAATCAAAGATTAAAATTTGATATTGGTGTTATATTAATTGCAAAGAAAAGCATTTTTTTTATATACATCTAAAATAATTTTTATTCTATTTTTACCATTAGATTTTTTTTAAAAAATATTTTCTTGAACAAATTAAAAGAAAATTAAGACTACAAGATATCTAATCTATCCAAGAACTATAATTTTTTAAGACAATGAATCTATAACAATTCGATTAGATTTAAATTTTATAATGCTAAATACTACTAAATTTTTATCATCTTCAAAAATTATTTCTATCAATAGAATTTTTAAGGCAATAGTTTTAAAAGATAAAGATCAACTATCTTTAACTTCAACATGTATAAGTTTGATTTGTTGGATCAACAACATCTAGTCATACTTAACAAAATTTTCATCAAAAACAAATCAAGCCATTAAAACTTAACAATGCTAAGGTAGAAACTATGTAGATTTTAGATTCTAAAAGCACTTATAATTTTTTTTAAAAAAAATTCAAAATATAGTACATAATCTTTACAAAATAATATTCTATAGGAATATCTATTTATATATATATATATATATATATATATATATGTCTTGCTTCTTTATTAAATAATATTAAAACATATGTTCTAATTTCCTACAAAATATGCATGATCTTTTTTGCTAGTATCAAGTATTTTCTTGTAGTGTGAAACATTTAAATTGCATAACAACAATCTACATATCTTTTTGGTCAAATTACATACCTTGATTAGTAAAAGTATTTGTTATAAAATTATAGAGGTGTTGAAGTACCAAAGTATACAATTTTATTGACACATAGAAAGTTGGTTGTTGCATTTAATAATAATATCAACTATTTGATTTAATATCTTAGCATAAAACAAGTTTAATAACAATTTCTTTACAACATATTACAATGTATAAAAAATATCAAATAATAGTTATAATATCATTTTACTTGACATGAATTGTTAGTTTTTAAAATTAAAATATTTTAACAAGTATTTATTAATTTTATTTTAAAAAAATCTAAGTTTTAGAATTCTAGGTTATTATTAGTCTAGCTTGAAATCTAAGAAAACATAAATAAGATTAAAAATGGCATGAAAACTTACCTTCATATATAATAGGTAAAAAATAATTATTCAAAAGCTTTCTAACAAATGTAAGGCTTATAATCTAGGTGTCCAACTTGTAGGTTGTTTTATAGAATGTTTTCTATGTAATTAGAAATGTATAAGAGAAGTTTGCTTAGTTACATGACATATAAGAAAAATCTATAGATAAAATTTTTATTTATTATTTTCAAAGAATAATTATATAATTAATTTTTAAAATATATTTCAACTATTTTTTTTATTCTTCTTAATAAAGTAATATAAATAATTATCATATCATTATAAGTTTTGCATGATTTTTTAGAATCTAAAATTAGATGATTTATATTGAAGTTTATAAGTAAAAGTGAAAGTAGAATAAGTTATCTTTTAGAAGATATTATCTTAGGTAAGTTTCTAATGGTGAAAGGATTAAATCTTAGTATATGAAAATGCATCCTATAAAGAAGAGACAAGGTCAAAGACAAATAGTTAAGAGTAAAAGGATAAAAGATCAACTAAAAAATATCCGAAAATTAAGTAAGAATATATAATATATACTATAAGATATCTTTGAAATAAATGAGTTGGCAAAAGATACTAAGAGCATAAAGGATATGCTAAAGAATTATCATTTTAGTTAATAAGATGCTAAAAGATATATTTGGGGTATCATTGGATGGATGTAAAAGTCAAAAAATGGAAGTTATTATTAAGGGCAACAACCACTACTTATAAGTAATAAGTGTTAGAAGTGAGAATCATCTTACTCTATACTTTCTTTATGTATAATCTTATTAATGCTATGTGTTGTGACTTCAAAGTTGTCTTTTTTCAATAGATTATGAGCCTACTCACCTTTATTTGTGAGTCTTGAAGTTCTTCGAAGTTTTTGATGTTGTGAAGAATAGAACTTATGGTTGTTGTTGATATTAGTGTTTGGTATCTTCTAATCCTACTTTTGTAATTAATTGTTGATGTAGTTTTGCATTTATTTTTTGTTAAGTGCATACATGGTCTTGGAGATTGTTAGACACTTTAGAATGATATTTGAGAGTACTAGTGTTGGATTTCTTTACTTAGTTCTATCATTGGTGTAGTAAAATTATTCTTTTATGTATTAAAGTTCTTAAAAGATCTTCTTATAGTAATAAGAGGTGTTTTATAAAATTAGAGATAAATAAAGAGTGGTAAAGCTTATAAAGGAGTTTTAAAAAGAGAATAAACTTATAAAAAGTCTTATAAGTGAAGTTGAGAGTGATTTAAGAGTAAAATCATTAATTTACTCACTAAAAAGGCATTTTGAGTTTTTAAAGCAATAACATTTTTAACTTGATTTTGAGAGCTCTGTTACTTCTTTTTTTGATTTTCTTTGATATATTTATTGCTTATATATGGTTTTAAATAAAGGTGAAGGCTTGAAAGAAATTGAAAAGTTTAGAGGTCACAACTTCTACCATTGGAAGAAAAAAATAGAACTTTTGTTAGCTTCATTGAATCTTTGAAATATTATAGACGAAAGTGAAGAGCTTCGAAGCAATGATCTTGATGTCAAGGTAAAGGAGAAATACAAATATTGTAAAAAGAAGGCTTTTGGGTTGATTGCAACCGATCTTGATGATACAAAATTTTCACACACAATTATTTGTAATAGACTAGCATTTTGAAGTTTTTTTTTTTTTTTTTTTCTTTTTGATCAATTTATAGATAAGTTTTAAAGATAAGAAAAATATAAACATTCTAATCAATGTAAAAACATAAGAATTAATTTAAGAAATTACTATATTTATAAAAAATTAGATAATTTTATAAAAAAATATTATAAAGTTAAAAAATGAAATAAAAATACAAACAATCCTTGTGATAACTTTAGTAGAGATTATTATAATTTTATAGAAAGTAAAGGAGCCTATATAGCTGCCATATCTAAGTGGATTATAGATTCTGGTATTATTAAGCACATAAAATTATATAAGTGTTTATTTGATATTCATGAAGTAATTCTAATAATAAAAGTTTAATTGGAAGACAATGGCATGGTACAAGCTATTATAATTGAATCCATCATAGTATAGATTTTAATAAAGGACCAAATTAAGAGGATCAAATTGAAAAAAGTCTTACATTTACCAAAGTTGAAAAAAAATCTTCTTTCAATAATCAAACTTGTATTACATTATAGTAAGGTTTAATTTGACATGAATAGATATTTTGTGAAGACATTGAATATACAAGATATTGCTAAAGGCTTTAGAGATGGCAACTTCTATTTTACCAATCGTAAGAATATTAATGAAATTGAAGTAACAATATTTGTTGAGTTTCTACAAGATTAAGACAAGTTTGGAATTTGGCATTAATAACATGGTAATTTGAATGCCAAAAACATGAAGGATCTCAATTCCATAGTAAGTAGCTTGAATCTTGGTTCATTTAGCTACAATGCCATTACATTTTTTTGCAAAGGTTGTATACAAAGGAAATAATAAAGGGCTTTATTTCTAAGTAGAGTTGCAACATGTGCAACCAAGTTATTGGAGATTATGCATTTTGATGTTTGTAGACCAATGAAGATACCATGAATTAAAGGAGAAAGGTACTTTGTCACATTTATTGATGATTTTTAAAGAAAGATGTGGATTTACATCTTTAAAGCCAAGGATGAGTATTTTTCATGCTTTAAGGAATTTAAGGCACTTCTCAAGAAATAATGTGA